AGCCATGGCCCTCCCCAAATTCTCCTAGCTAGGGGAGGGCCGCCTGGATGTGGAGCAAACACCATGTGTCTGGCCCTCAGCCCAGGGGCCCAGATTGTCTCCTGGGGTCCTTCAAGTTGGCAGCATGGTGCCACGTGGGCTCGAGTCATATTCACTGGGGGCTGGTGGGGGTGTTGGCTTGGGGGCAGTAGAGTTTGGGGGAGTGGAAAGTTTGTCAGGGATGCAGCCATGATGGATGACTGCAAATTGGTCACTTTATCACTGTAGAGCAAACTAAAAATGCCTTAGCTCAAGCTGGATAGAAAGTTCAAAGATAACCCTAGCCCATAGTAGTGTAACTTTAAGATGCTCAGCAGAGTGTAACACCCTTTAATGCATGGACGCACCTCAAAAACTGATTTGGGAACATCAGAACAGAGTACTGGAAAACACTTCCCAAGTACCTTTAGAATGGTTTAACCATTTTAGTAAGAGTGCATCACCACTCTTACTAGACAAGAGCCACAACTACAGCATAACTCAGAAGCCACAGAGAGAGATTCTGTGTTCCTCTGTCCTTGGGACAGCTCTTTGGTAGCCCAATCCTCTGGCAAAACTTAGAGCAGTCCAAGTCTATTTAGTTATATCAACTGGCTGTGGTTCCACAGAACTAACTTGGCAGCTGGGGAACAGTAGAAAAAAGCACCTGCTATTCCATAACTTCTTCCTATCGCATAGAATAGAAGCAAAGGAGACGAGTGTGACCTAACTTAAGCCAGTTGATGTTCCCCTGCTGTGATCAGCAATACTAGCTTTGTTACCAAAAATGTGCTGGCAATCAGGTACAAAGCAGCCACACTACACAAAAAGAGCTGGGGCACTGTGAGTAGACTGGGGCAGCTTCCATTATGAAGTGATTGCCAAACATGTAAACATCATGTATCAATTATAGCCCTCATGCCAACCTGAGTTTTTTTGTGAGAAGCCGTTATCATTTTTAAGGTAGCTTCACCTAACTTCTGTGCCAATTAAGCACAAGGATATATTTTGCACAGCTATCTTAGCCAGCAGTTTGTCAGATTATAGTAGCTTGTAATAGGATGTCACCTATGAGAACTGTTTTAGTGAACACACCCCTTACACCTTACACACAAAAGCTAGATCTGGAAGACAAGTGGGTATGAATGAATTAGCCCACCAGGGCTAAGTGATATTAAAAAAATGTACTTTGTGTAGTTTTTTACAAATCAAACATTCCATTTTGATAGGGCCAAGGTTAGACAGCCCTGGATTATATACATATCTGTAAGTGTGTGCATGTGTAAGGATAGGCAGGAATTGTTAAGGACAGCATAATTAGCAAAGCTAAAGGTTGCATCATGTCTGGAGTCTGCAAGTTAATAGAGGAGTGCTACTGCCTTATGCATTACAAATTTCCTCTGAGCAACTTCGTAAAGCCTCAGTGGGGGTAGGGGAAGATTTCACTTCTGCTATTTATAGCGGTATTTCTTCAATGGTTACCAAACAGGCAACTGAATCAGCAACTTTGATAAGTCACCCACAGAGTCCATGGACCTTATTGATAACCCAGAAGAAAGAGTATTCCTGAATTCTGGAGATGGGGATAGTGGACAGAAGTAGCTGTAACTGCACTGCCAGGTTTGTTTATGGCTAGTCCATGAGTTATTATAGGCACAAAGAGTTTTCTCTTATGTGGGTCTACTGGCAGCACAGAGCGTGTTAGGCATTTATTTTTCACCTGGGACCATTGCACAGAAGCCCCAGATAAACAATTTCTAGAGTCTCTGCTAGCCAACCCAATGGCTACCCAAAATTACTGAGTAGAGTAGAAAGCATAGCCTCAAGACTCCTTTCTACTTGAATGAGTTAAGGTAGGATGCTTTCCATAGGGGCGAGGTCAATGTCTTACGTAACTGTACAAATTGTTTCCTTCTCCCAAGTCTCCCTCATTTTTGTCTTTCCTGGTTTGAGCTGCAAGTTGAAGGTGTTACACACCTTTGCCAACATTATGCCATTTCTGTGGTGGACTTGGTCACATTAGCTGGGAAGGATAAGGAGTGTGCAGCTAACCAGTGGCACTGGAGCCTGTGATATTAGGACATCTCCCCAGAAGGTGTAAGACATGGGCTTACAGCACTCCAGGTAAGAAAGCTCCAGAGAAAGATGAGGGACTTTTAAAAATAAAGTCAGTACAGAAAAACTTGCCCCTTGAGGTTGAACTTCAAAGTGAGATATCATTATAAGAACAAGGTTGATACAACCATTCTTGGCAATACCATTTCCTTAGGGAACCTACAGTTAGTAAGGGTCTTGCTAGGTTGCACTTTGAGCTGCTCAAATGCTGATAGGTGTTAGTACTAGCTTGAGTTTGGAGCAGGCACACCTTAAAGCTAAAAAACTTTCTGTTTCCTGCAGGCACAGCT